AAGAAGTGGAGGGTTAAGAGGGGGGGGAGATGAGGGAGGGGGAGAGGGTAAGGGTAAAGCAGGGGAGTGAGGGAAAGGACGAGGGTAAGTGAGGTGGAATGGGGTGGAGAGGAGGGTGAGGGAAGGAAGGCAGGATAGGCTTTAGTATGTAAAAATGTGTGGGTGTGTGAGTGTGGGTGTTTGTGTATGTGTGTGTGTGTGTTTGTCTGTGTTTAACAGATATAGAGGACAGAGAGAGAGAGAGAGAGAGAGAGAGAGAGAGAGAGAGAGAGAGAGAGAGAGAGAGTTAAAACGTTTTTCTTTGTTTTCAATCCACAAAGTGTGATTTTGTTAAGACTCTAAATTTTGAATTCAAATGGCATAACAAAAGCAGTCCCTCCCACCTGCTTAGCTAGTTTCTCCAGTGCTTTCTTCTTCTCATCCTCCAGCTTATCCTGCTCCTCCCTCTGCAGCGCCTTCACCTCATCTCTCAGCACCTGCAGCGCTCTCTCCATCTGATCCCTGTGGGGACACACCAGTAAAAGGACACAAGTGAACATAAACACTTACAAACGCATCCAATGAGATGGTAGCATTCGAAAAGGAATTATCATGCAAAATGCATCTAATATTATACAGCAGGTCAGCTGTAGTTTCACATTTTATTAATTCTTTTGGTCTGGACGATTTTCTACTAATGTCAGTCAAACCATTACTATTTCTTGTTGTCTTCAATATATACATCCATACATATTATGGCAAACAGGGAACATAAATATACATGCCCTGTGAGCTGTTAAAAACACATTTACCATTGCAAAACATAACATTCCTTGTAAAGTAATATTTTATTTTCTTTTAAGGCTAGGATTTCTTCTTCCTAGATCTTTTGTCAAGCCATCATCCTTTTACATCATTTCCATATTTGGCAGCAGAGAGAACACATATTATATGCATGCGAAAAGCTGGCAGCATACAATGGGAGAATCCAAAACCATACCGAAGATTAGAAAACAATGTAGACCCCTAGCAATATACATTATTTAACACGTTCAATGCAAGGAGATTTTCTTTCCATATATCAAGTTTTAAACCATAATTTGATTGTATCATCTTTTTCACAAGCCTTACGATTTCTATGAAAGACTAGATAGTCATACAAAGGAGGAAACCAACACAATAATGATAATAAACAATTGATGGGCACAATTAACATAAAAAAACAACAACAAACTTACACATATTAAACAGCATTTGTTTGAGATTAGACATGAGAGTGAACCATACAAGTATGAATGATAGAAAGCAGCAACATTGAATATCTCAGTAGCAGTTCATGAGTTTCAGTAACTTTTTGCATGTTTCAAACACATGAGTATTTCAGTGGTAGTTTATCTGTTTTAATAACAGTTTACATGTTTTAGAATTAGTCACCACCTTTCAATAACATGCCTGCTTCAAGAGTTCACTTACAGTAGTAAGAGCAGTTTACATATTTCAGTAATATTTAACATATTTCAGACACATTTTACACGTTTCAGAACCAGTTCACATATTTAAATACAGTTCTTTTTCAGTAACAAGTTACATTTCCTGTAACATTTCTGCTTTAACGTTTCATGAACAGTATCAATAAAGGGTCTATTTTTGCTGTAACACTTAAGGTAAACTTATGAAAGTTTGAAAGCAAATAATTTTATGTCATTCACTTCACACTGACATGGCACATAGATGAGTCATTTGCATGAATTTTGTCTAGGGAAAAGATTACCCATTACTGTGTAATTATGAGAAACGAATTATAGAAATCGATCTGCAGTACATATTAGTTATAAAACATACACAAGAGTGATAGATAAAGAATATCATCTGGATAGAGTATGGTATGTTATGGCTTTATTAACATTATTTCAGCATTATAAAGTAATAAGGACAAGAGGTTTTTTCATTTTTCCTTTGTACAATTACCTATCTGTCATTTGATAAAATTAAACCTATAAAAAATTATATAAAGGCGTTTCCTACACACAATTTGAAAAAAGAAAGAAAACATGTTTGAAAATAGATCAGATATTTTCTGATTCAAAGGCCAGTGCACAAAAACACTTGTATCATGGAGGATAATCTATGTGCAAGAGGGGGGAATCATGGGAAAGCTGAACTTATCAAAGGCGCATGCCAGCCACAAATCACTTAGATAACTAATTTTGACACACAGGCTGGCAGTGAATGATAATACTACAACAGATGATGACGCAAAACTGTGGGTAGCCTTGATGAACGACCATCTGTTGTCACTTGTGTAATAGTGAAAATAACAAAAATGAAACAACACTGGAAAAAAATAATAAAAGCACAGAGGAAAGGATAGGACCACAATGGAATACTGCAGCATAGATATAGGAAAAGGGTTATTTGAAGCAAGAATTTAAATCAAAACAAAAGTATTGCAGGCGATGAAATAAAAGAGATTGTTTTCTTTCCATGTGACAGGCATGCAAAAACAAAACAAAAAAGCGATTCTGTCTCAGTATGGGTGTGACTTCAAAACATAACAATAGACAAAAACATGACATGAGCTCGACAGATAATAATAATAACCTTACAGGTTCATTAAAGTGCTAGTACTTCAAAATTAAAAGAGCAGGGGGGAAAATCAGTTAAATTTTTTTGAAAGTGTATAATTGTGAAGTCCATAACTCAGAATTTAGAAACAGGGCATAGATCTATGATTCTTCTTTCCGAAAGTATCATTATTAGCATGGAGTGCCATATCCAAAGCAGACAACGAAGCTTGTAGTTCTCAGAAATGATAGATCTAGTAATTTTGAAGAGTGTGTTCTAGGACAGAACAAGTAATTTTAAAGAGTGTGTTCTATGACAGAACAATCACTAAGACAAATTAATAAGTAATTCTCTGTTGTGAATTAAGAAGAAAGCAACATGATTCATGCAGATCTACTGAAAGGGTGTATAACTTTAAGCCATGGCATTTAGGTGATGTGTGCAAAACATTCTTGAACAACTTATGGATCCAAGCAAAGGTCCTGTGTTATTACATCTAATCTAGTCTATTTTTTTCTTTTAAACAAAACTCCCAAAATGACTAAATGATTTACACCCTCATTGACACAATTTAGATTTTAAAATACCCCCCAAAACAAGGGGAGCTGCTTCAATGTAACTGTCAAGGCCAACCTGGTCCTAATGGGATACACACCTGCTTAGCAGAATGACAGATACTTGATAAAAAAAAAAAGATTTCTCTCTCCCTCACTGCATTCCCTTTGTTCAGACCATAATGCATGAGTTATACAAAACTCGGCTGAGCAAATAGAAATGTCTACACATTTAAAGGGGTTTAGAAACATGTTCACTTAATGGCATAGGCACATAAATAAATGTCATGTCATCCTAGGTATGTCAGTTGGAAACTGCTGTTTTTCTACAACCTCCCAAACAGTATTAGATGAGAATTCAGCCAGCTTCTTAGATGAGAAGCTAGACTTTTCTTTCTTATGAGATTCATGGATAATACTCAGGCTGAGGCTTTTTTGTTCGTGTTTCTATAACTTTCCTTTTTTTACTGGGTCCGGCTTTTCTAATGCTGATATTGATTCAAAAGATCACGATGGTTAACCTTGCAGTAGTTCCGAAAGATGGGAGAGGTGCGATAGGTCCTACCATTAAGCATTGACACAACGAGCACAAATAAAACAGACATCAGAACATAAAAGAGGAAATAATCTACATCACTTTTCACAACAACTGAGGAGAAAAAGATAACGGAAACCAATAACCGTAAAAGTGACAAAATAAGAAGCAAAAAGCCATGCAGCACAACCTAATTCAAAATACATGTAGGTCTCTGCGTGCAGGAACTTTCAAGTTAGGAACACACTCGCTACGCACGATTCAGGTAATCCATTTCCCAGGAGAAAAGAGTGAGGGAGAGAGGGGGAGGTAGAGGTGCAGGGAAGAGGAGATCCTATATAACAGAAAGTTTACCGCAACTCAGCCTCTTTCTGAGTGTGCATGTCCTTGTGCTCGGTGCGTAACGCCTTCAGCTCCTCCTCCTGTGACCGGACCAGCTCCTGTTTCTCCTGCCTCTCTGTGGCTGTCAGCTCCTCCCGCAATTTGCTGGTAATTGTTCATTGTTTATTGTTCAAATTGTATCACATGCCTGGCAACTTATTTCATTTATTTGTTCTGCTTGTAAAGTGCCTGAAGCCTGCTTTTGAGAAAGCATATGATATGAAGACTACAGGGGAAAAACAACAGTAGTCACAAACTGAATATCGCGAGGGTACTAATTTTGAACACTTGTTGAGTCATAAGTGTATTTCTGTTCAACTGTTGGTTGATTATTGTTGTTAGATTTCCCATTCAACAATACTTAACAATAAACCACCAGAGAAACAAATATGAAGTTACGAGTCCACAAGCTTTCAAAATTGGCACCCTTACAATTTCCAGTTTGTGACTACAGCCATTTTTTCTCCTGTGCTCTTCCTATGTGTTATGACACGGTGGAATAAGGCACTTGTAAATTTTTAGGAGTTATGGGTAAACTCTGAAAGCCTGTTCATTTACCTTGCTTTTGATTGAAAATAATATTCATCTATCCTGAATAGCAGTTGAGATGTTTGTGATTGAAGAAAGGTTGGGGCCTGATGTGTGATTTTAAATGGAAATAAAAGGCGCTGAGCCCATTATGAAAAATTCGATAAAAATTGCAAAACCAGCAGAAAATGCTTTTACCTTCAATTTCATTATTCTGACGAGCGACTGATTTCACCATCATGCCTCACACATGGTCTAGACACATATAAGCCACTATTATTGTTATTACTACTATTATTATCATTAGACCATGTGGTCATATTATCACCTCAACAGAACTTTTGATATTCTGGAACATTTTCACCTTTTGGAACTGTTCAGAACAAGCTGTCATTTCACGGGCTTACAAATAACTATAATATGCTGACAAGAACTATCACCATCTAAGCCAGGTGCCAATTCCCACCAGAGTGAAGGGGGGTAAATCAGTGTAAAGAGCCTTTTCCAAGGAAACAACATTAGACCTGGACCGGGATTTGAACCTATCATGTTTGGATTGTGAAACAGGTAGTCCAGTAACTAGATTACTATCACCGACTTTCTTTTGCAACTGAAAGATTTTCCCACAGAACCTGGGGTAAATTGCTCTCTCCTGAGTAAGTTAAACATAACTGGACAAAGGATTATTTGTTTAGTTAAGAAAAGACAAAAATGTCTGCCATACTACATAATTTTCATGTGCAGCAAAATAGAACACTTTTGGACTTTCTCAAGTGGGAAAGAATAAATAGCAATACAAACATGAACTTTAATACGTTATAATCAGACTGTGGTGTATGGAAAGTTGACATAAGGATGGCCACATTCTCAGTTAAAGGAAACAGAGTGTGATGATGAAAGTACAGTTGAAAAGAAGAAGGGGGAGCACACCACATCACAGTGGCCTCCAACCACTCACTCATTTCAACTCCACAAGGGTTAGAAAATGAGAGCAGGGAGCAAGTAAATTGTGGATTTGAAACTATTATCAAGTGGAACTGGGTCATGTCTGAGCACTACACACTTGAAGAAAAATGACATACACTGAGCAGTGTGAATGAGTCAACTGTATCACACCATCTCAGACAGAAAAGTCTCCAGCGAGTAGCAAAAAGAAAAAAAAAAAGCATTCAACTTCAGTCAGTTTTTGGTGCAACAAACACAGCATTGTGCTTTCAGTCACACAGCAACATCAAACACAGAGTAAATCTGTAGTTGTAACAACAAAGAGCTTGGCTTGAACCTCAAAGTCTTAGAAAATAAGATATAAAGTGATGAGTATTTCTATTATTCTACTATATATGTTAGGAACTATTCTCAACAGCGACTAAAAAAGGAAAAGAGATGTGCTCTCTAAATTGACTACAATTGTGTGCGTCTAGGAAATGACACCATAATGTTCTCACTAAACTGTAAGTTACCAATTGAACAGTAATTAAACGTACAACATTCTATTTACAAAAACAATGCCAAAGTAGCTTTCCAATTTGATGTCTTGAGTTCTTCGTGTAAAGTGGTAGTAGCGAAAAGAAAACCCGTCTTCTGACTAACTAAAAATACTAGCTACAAAATATTTAAAAGCAGTCCTAATTTCAATACCTTGAGTTCATTTTTCAGAATATTAGTAGGAAGAAAACAACTTCCAAAGCGGCAAAAGGAAAACGCAACTCACTTGATGATCTCTTTTTTCTCCAGTCTAAGTTTTCGCTCCTCTTCATCAGCTTCCTTTTTGATTTCATCTTTGAGTCGCCTCAGTCTTCTGTCTTTGTCCTGTAAAGATTGAAAATGAAGAACGTATAATACAGCTCAACAGGTTGAAGGAATCTAGTTTTCAAAACACAAAGCTCATGAGAAACAATCAAGAGGTACTGGTTTCGCTCATTGAAGAGTTTTGTTAGATAAGGAGAACAAGAAATGTGTTTTTAAATTACTTTCAGTATAGCCCATAGAACTTTGTGATTAAGTAACTTCAACAACTAGCAGATAAAAACTAACCATCATTATTGACAGTTACTCACATCTGCACCACATTCATGAAAAAGAACATAGAAGAAGAAGTAAAGTGGTAAACTGACCTCTAATGGCAAAATATTATAAAGACACTCCAACATCTGACCTCTAAATACATAATATCATCATTACAATAAAGAAACCCCAATAGCTGACCTCTGAAAATCAAACATCATTATTAATTTTAAAAACTGATCTCTCGAAAATAAGAGAGAAAAAAATGCTTCCAAAAAGTGACATTAAGAGATGATAGGGCATAATAAGATGCTGCGTCTCCAACAAATAAATATAAAACATCCTTATTTAGTACCTTTAACAAGGGATTTCAAAAGATAAGAATAAAGTACCTCTAACAACTCCAATTTGGCATTCTCCACTTCCCTCTCCAGTTTGTCCTGCATCTCTTGTAAAGCTTTTTCATTGGCTGTTGAAATGCGGAACTCTTCCTCTTTGAGAAACTGCTCCTGGGCTCTCCTGAGGGGGAGGTAGGGAAAATTTTTTGTTTCAGCTACGTACAATATGATCAAGAGGAAGGAAAGAACAGAGGACAGTAAGGAGAATCCTTCCAACATTCAAAAAAAGAAAAGAAGGAAGCAGGTTTTCAAACCAAAGAGGAGAGCAAACAGGATGAAGAAAGACACAGACAAGAAAAGAGAGAGAAAGCAGAAAAAGACAGAGACACAGAAGTATTATAAAGATAAATATTCAAAACATTCCTCTGCTGCCCATAGAAGTAAAAAGACACAAAGAAAAAGGCGAGGCACAAATAAATGATGAGAGGGAAAGAGGATAAAAGGGGCGAAAAGAGACTCAGTGTGACTGGCAAACAAATAAACAGAGAGAGAGAGACAGAGAAAAAGAGAGAGAGAGAGAGAGAGAGAGAGAGAGAGAGAGAGAGAGAGAGAGAGAGAGAGAGAGAGAGAGACTTACTTATCGGCTGCAGCTGCTGCGACATCTGCCTTCCTCTTCCTGTCGGCGTCCAGGTCCAATGGAGAGACTTTCCCCCGAGGAGACTCATCGCGAGCTGTCGACTTCAGCGAGAGAGTGCCATCTATGTCCTACAATCGCAAGCAAAAACGGAATAATAAGTAACTAAACCTGCCAATGCTGTGAAGAATTGAAAATAGTCCGCACCGGTTTCAATATGACACATTCTCTCTATCCCAGACAGGATGCATAGTTCGTACAGTTACAGGTGCATTGTTTTGAAACAAGACATGTCATGAAGTGTCCTCTATCACATATCTATCATTTAAAAAGTGTGGCATCTTGATATATGATAGTGAGATCTCCTTTAATTAACATATACTACAGCATTATATCCATCTACAGCATTTCAAGCTTACTAGTCTACTTTTGTAGTATAAATCAACCACTACTGGTGGCTTTTAGGGAAACAGTGATTTCATTTCATGTTCTACATTGCTTTACAGTTATCATAAAAAGCAACCAGCAACAATCAACAATTTTTAGTTAGAAAGCATCAATCAGTCTAAAATGAGCTCTTATACAATCTTAATAAAATCAATGGTGTTATTAAAAGCATCACATCGTCATACAACCAAAACAGGGATGAAACAAGCAAAAAAAGACAGAAAAACTTTAAAATATCAGGTGGGACATTATTGTGCAAGCACAGGGAATAAACCTCTTCTGAAATGGCAGATTTTGTGTGATTAAAAAAATTTTTTATTTATTTTTTGCCATGAGTAAAGTGAAGTGCATTGACACAGTAACAGTCATCTAGTGCTGGGAAACCGCAACACCAACAGACAGAAATAACAGTGAGAAAGAAATTGAAAAAGACTAAAGGTGGTGTCATATAACACATTATCAACAATGAAAGATAAGGCAGCATAAACTCACACAGATTATAGTAATCAAGCCATGAAAGACACAACACCAACAGAAAAATGTAGATAACAGGGATCCGGTAATAACAGGGATTTTTTAAATCCCTTTAAATCCCATATTTTTCCTACTCTTTGTCTCTATTAAAAGTTATCAGCAATAACAGGGCCCCATCAGAGCCCAACCGGTTATAGCAGGGACAAAGGCTCGCTAACAATGTGTAAAGAGAGAGAGAGAGAGAGAGAGAGAGAGAGAGAGAGAGAGAGTGAGAGAGAGAGAGAGAGAGAGAGAGAGAGAGAGAGAGAGAGAGAGAGAGAGAGAGAGAGAGAGAGAGTAAAGCAGTGATGGAGCAAGCCCATGCAAGCTATGCCACTGCGAGCACATGCAACGTGTGAAGCGAGAGAGGGCTGCAGTGTGCTGCAGACCTCGATCTGGCCCGAAAACTAGCAACACACACGCGTAATGTGTCTACTGTCACCTACGAAGTCAAGCGCAAGAGAAAATGTCTTTCAATTGACAACAAAAAAAACGAAATAATCCAGGCTCTTGACAAAAAGCAAGCTCCACTGGCAGAGATTTGTCATCAGTTCCACATTCCACAAAGGTCGATTCACACCCATATCAAGGATAGAGAGAAGATAGTGGCAGCATACCCTAATGGAAAGTTTGCTCTGGATCGAAAGAAGATGAGACTACCCGATGCAGAAGCTGTGGACCAAGCTCTTCTGATGTGGTTTAAGGAGGCAAGGAGATAGTTGGTGCCAAAACCCCTGTTCGTTGGTACTTGTGGCAAAGGAAACTACCCATGAATTAGTCCACAAATGCTTACTTTCCTTGCATTTCTGATTTAACAGGGATCGGATATAAGCTGTTCTATCCATCACTTTAGGGAACTTTAGACTAAACTCTCGGACAAAGAGTAGTCACCCAAAATTTGTCACAATAGACTTTCAGCCTTATCACATAAATGACCCTGCTCTTTTTATAGTTTAAGTGGAACAGGGTAGGGAAAAACCAAGGAGAAAGTAAAGAGTGAGTGCTCAGAGACTACAAGGAGAAGACACCCATCTCCAGTGACACAAGACACAGCAAACACCACCACCAATGACAGCAACAGAGCTGCGTGCTTGTCTTACCTGTCCCAAACTACTTCCTCCTCGGATCTAAACATGCAGCATCAGAGAAATAATAAAAAATGATGAAAGAAGAAAAAAAAAAGTCAGTTTCAATGAAATACTTCACAGATTTGAATGGAATATGTGATAGGTTGTAATGAAATACTTGTGTATGGTTTGAGACTAGAAGCACATCATTGAGAAGGGTCACCTACAAGGCAGAACAAACAGACAGACAGACAGACATTACAGAGGGATAATAAAATATGTAGGACCTAACAGCCACACCCAACTAACACTAGCATATATAACAGTTACCATAGAATGAAATGTAAAGCGAAAACTAGAACCTACATTTCAATCTTTTGTTCCTTTGAGGAAAAGGATAAAAACCCAAGGCTATTATTCGAAAGGTAGTTAGATATACGTTAATGACAGCAAAATCGTTGGATTTTTTTCTTCTTTTTTTGGTTTGTTGAGAAATGTAATCTTGACCAAATGTACTTGATTGCAAATGTAGCATGTGCTCCTTTACTCTTTGGAATATCAAAGGTGCATCTCAGCCTATAGTGGTGTAAATCTACATTTACTTTGACCCTTGGCAAGGGAGTTTTGTAGGACAGGTGCAGTAGGCTCAAGGGACAAGAACTCGGGGTAAAAACTGCTGATATGCAATTCCATCTGTATTATTGTTAACCTTTATAACTGTGCACAGGTAAAAAGTTTCAGGAACCACTGCACCGTAAAGCATTAAAACATTATCTCTTACATTGGGGATGGCAGACTACATTCCTTTTACACACTGCAACAACCATGTTGTACATGTTAAAAAGTTTTGCATACAGGAGCGTTCTTCAACTTAAATTGCGCTTCACAATAATAGCAACCCAATTACAATTAGCATCTATACAGCTTCATGAAAGAACTCAAATTATTACAGCACAAAGCTATACATACAAAAGCTGTAAAGCAAAAGGTTTTTCCATACAGCAAAAAACTATGAGCAAATAAAAATGATCACGAAGTTATTTTTAGGACATGAAACAGATGTTAGACAATACGATAATGTAAAAATTATTGTATTCTGACAACAATTTAACAACAACCGTTTCCCCAAAAAGAAACAAAACAACAACAGACAAACAAAACCCCCCCAGAAAAAAACAACACATACAAAAACTCAACAACAGCAAAATCTACTAGAAGCCAAAATGTAGACAAAGTTGGTATTTGACTACCTGTTCGAAAAAATAGTCGACTCATTAACTTATTATGAAAACAGGGATTTCATTAAAAGATGGCAAACACAAGTGGAACATTTCATCAACCACAGCAGCTATGGAACATTTTACACAGCTTTTTAACTCAGTTAAATATCGCTATCATTCAATCAGCGCAAGTGTGAAGAGACTAACGTTTCTAATTGTACATGGAGGCCCATGTCAACTTCACAATACAACAATAATATTTGAGGCCCCCGGTAAAAAGGCAGATCTCTTTAACTGCATACATTAAAAGAGCTCTAGGAAGCAATTATTCAAAAACTAAATAAAACAGCTTCTAATGACAAAATAAGAGAAAGGACAAGATGCAAAAATATCGATGACAAAGGTTTTCCAATTATGATTCTTTCTAAAGTTTTCTGAAAAAAGATTGCCTGAGAACAGTAGAACTCTGGCAAATAACAGAAGATTGGAAGCATATGAACAATTAAACGTCAAAGTTGATTTTTAAAAAAGAAAAAAAAACTGACCTTCTCCAGCGAGCCCCTCAGTCCAGGGTCCAGGTTTTCAAACTCTAACAGTTTCTCGGACAGATTCTTGTCCAAACCAAAATCCTACAAAGGGAGAAAACATAGTTGATTAGTTTGAATCTGTCAGAGTCAAGAAAAAAGCAAATGCTACTTCTGAGAGAAGGGGAGAGAGAGAGAGAGAGAGAGAGAGAGAGAGAGAGAGAGAGAGAGAGAGAGAGAGAGAGAGAGAGAGAGAGAGAGAGAGAGAGAGAGAGAGAGAGAGAGAGAGAGTGTGTGTGTTTGTCTTTGTGTGTGAGTGTGTTTGTGTTTGTGTGTGTGTGTGTTGTGTGTGTGTGTGTGTGTGTGTGTGTGTGTGTGTGTGTGTGTGTGTGTGTGTGTGTGTGTGTGTGTGTGTGTGTGATGTGGGAGGGGGGGATGTAGGGGGAAATATACATTGGTAAAATGAAGTTAGCAACCTCATAAAGGGACACAAGAGTCAGTGCTACCAAGGTATACTTGAATACTTTTTAAGTTTACATGACTTTAAGACTGCCGCCTCTCCTAAAAAAGAACAAAAAACAAGAAAAGTGTACAGTTCACGACAGAAAAATGACAAAAAATTAATTTAACAAATTTGTTTTATGTTTGTCACAAATGCATTTGTACATTTTTTGCTACTTTTTAGGTACACATTGAAAATCAAAATGAAGTAAAAACAAAATAATCACTCACAACATCCTTGATGTAGTCCCCACTGTCATCACTCTCCGACTCTTCTTTGGCACGAACATTATCTTCTGAATCCGGTTCTGATTCCTGGAACACGTAACAAAAAAATTAAGGGAGGATAGTCTTGAGCGCGTTTGAGTTATGACATTCAAGTCCATAGAAACTCCAATGGTAATTTAGGTGCTACCAGTTGCAGCCTTCAACGGCCTGTCCAACAAAAGATCAGACATTAAGATAAATCACATCAAAACAATATACAGCCAAATCTACAGCAACAGCCACTTACGAAAGATAATCACTTGTACAAATGACCCCTTCCCACTTCCCCATTGCAATTGTTTTGTTTTAGTTTTAGTAAGAGTTTTACGGTACTTGTAACACAACAAGGTTACGTAATTGCCAAAAATTAGAAGTATTACAAGAGAGTAACAAACACAATAAAGAAGGAAGAGAGATAAGGACAATAGGTGTTTGGTAGGAAAGAAGGAGCAAACCGCACCAGAGTATCCATCAACCACCCACTGCAATTTCTTTCTTTATCATAATGACACTGTCCATGAAGTCCACCACACACTTTTCCACTCCACAATGGGTGGCCTTCTTTGACAATTTCAACTGAACATAGTTTACTTATGGACAATATTTAACAAATGGTATCAGACTAGATTTAAGAAAAGTGGTAGGGCAGACTTCATTATAGACTTCTTTCTGTAAAAGATTTTATAGAGAACTTCAGGAAAGTTTTTTATGGAGAGTAATAGGATACTTTTTACAGAAGACTTCAAGATAAATTTGACATTATACATCAAGACAGACTTAGTTGGTGGCTTCAGCATAAGGCTTTGGAATATTAAAAAAAGATTTTCAGAGGGTACTCCAATTAAGTTTTTTCAGAAAAATGTCTGCAAGATATGACAAAACAATTTTATTGCAGTTACAAAAAAATAAACTTTGTTAATTACAACACAGATGATTCCAAAATGGATTTTCAGGAATGCTTTGAAATAAATTTAATAGAAAACTACGGTGGATAAAAATTAAGTTCCACAGCAAACTTCAGCATGTGAAACACAGAAATTATTAATATTTCATGTAATAAAGCATGCTACTTACATTTAATACAGTTTATAAAATAAATGTTTGTGAGCCAAGTGTCTGAACTTGATTTCAGAAAAGCTTAAAAATTTACCATGCCACAAATGGTGTCAAACAAGCAGTAACTCCTTCTATAAAACTTCGCTGATCAACAAAGAGCAAACCAGCAATTTCAGGAAAACCTTCATTTCTTGCCCCAAGACATTTCCTTTTGCCTGCCAGAAAATATATAAGTTTAACACCTTTTACACCATAGTAAGATAAAGTCAGAGGTGGTCAGGGTTTGTCATCACCTCATCAACAGAAACAAAATGTTATGGTAAAATGTTGTACGGTTACAATTCCAAACTTTGTGAGAAAAGTAGAACCATAGCAACCCTTCAAAACAAAAACTTTCTTTCTTACCTCATAGCCCAAAGCTGCTATGTCATGGACCCCGAAGTCAAGACTATTTCCTGGTCGCCTTATATCCTGCCAGGAAAGAAACACACCAACGAATATCATCATATGAATATTACATGTAAATATAAATTTTTATTATTTTTAGCAAACTATTTTTTCAAATGATATCAGTCTACAAGGGATACATCCTAGTTTCAAAATGTCTTCAGAGCTATCAGATTTTTAAAAAGCAATCTTATCAGGGATTTGAAAATGTTAACTTTATCTTTTCAAAAGCTAGTGATTCAGTTTTGATACAAGTGTCGCCAAGGTGATTTGAAAATTTCAAGATGGTTTCGGCTATGCATGCCTAAAGAACAAAAAAAGAAAAGAAACAAATACGGAAAGAAAGAAAGAAACACACAAGAAATTATGCTTGCATATTCATTTAGAGTTAATACATATATTATCTTGTCCATCTTATCTTATCTCGCACTGGCCACGTATACTGACCTCATCCTCATCATAATCAGCTGAGTACACAGGTAAACTGACGCTGCTAGTCGCTCCCAAACTCTTGTTGGTCTGAATGGAGCCTGTTGTGGTGTTCAGACTGCCACGGATCTATGGAACATACAAAAATGAAGAAAATATTTATTTTAGTTTTAGTAAGAATTTTGCGGCACTTGCAACACAATAATGTCAAATAAGTACTGAAGGATAGATGTGTTACAAGAGAGTAACATACACAAAAAAGGAAAAGAGATAAGTATGATAGATATTTGATAGGAAAGAAGGAGCAAACCACACCAGAGCACCTGCCAACCACACACAATGAAGAAAACAGTTCTCCAGTAGTTTACTAAACATCTCAACAAGAAAGCTTCTGAACATGAGAGTAGCTTTTTTTTTTTCCAACTCGAAATTCAGCGGTGAAAACATTATCTTCTCTCTTTTTAAAAAATGTCATTTAGGAAACCATAATATAAAAAAACAACTAGTTATATAAGGCTGTAACCAAAAGAAGACGTCAATGCTCTGGATGTTTAAATTCTGATCTGGGTTCGTTAAAACTAAAACTGAACAGGTCTTCTTGTTTCAGATCACCCATATAAATTAATCATATCACAATTCAAACTCAGTTACGCCCATCAGTATCTGTGGTGTGATGATTAAGCTCCTTGCTCTTAAGACAGAAGATGAGAGTTTGATTGGCGAGTGGTAAAGTCATTTTATAAAGTTCTTCCACTTATCTCCTGCATTCCTCTCAATTTGGGTGGGCTCTGGGTGGCAGCAGCCAGCCTCAAAAAAAAAATCTAAATTGTTTTGAAGGGGGCATAAGACGCCCACAGTTAGTCAATCTGTCAACCAAAGATTCCGTCTTACCGGCTGTGAGTTTCCTACTGAACCCCTCATTCCCCCAGTGGCCCCAAAGCTCTCTGCCGACTTGAGAGGCCCTAGTGGGCTGGCCCCGGCCTTGTGAAGCTGAGGTCCTCCCAGGCTGTGTTCTGCCTTGGGCATCAGAGGATTCAGCTAGGGGAAGATAAGGAAGCCAAGCAAACATATTAATTTTTTGGGGTTCTAGTAAGGGTTTTAAGGCACTTGCAACACCATAAGGTCATATAAGTGTTGGAGATTAGAGGTGTTACAAGAGAACTGTTCTGCTCTAAAGAAAAAAAAAGTCAAGTATGGTAAGGGTTTACTGTCAGTTTCAGCACTGTAAGGTTATCAAGACCTCCGAATTTAATCTCCAAAAAGACAAAGCCAAGTAGGTCCAGAGCGTTGAAAATTTCTCCAACGAACAAATTGTAGAAGGCCCAATTGGGATTTAAACCTCAGAGGTCATCCACATCACAACCCTGTGTGATACCACTGAGCTAATGGTGAGTCAAAAAAGTTTGATTTGCAATCTTTCTAATCTGATGAACACTGGAGAAAGCATCTTGCGTGCCGAATGAGCTGCTAAACTGCAGATTATGTCGAACTGGAACGAAAACAAAAACATGACACCAGGAACCTTTTAAAGAAAAAGGAGCAAGCACTTAGTTTAGTAGTTTTAGTAAGACTTTTATGGCACTTGCAACACAATAAGGTCAAGTTAGTGCCTAAGATTAGAAGCGTTAAAAGATAGTAACAAACACAAAAAGAATGAGGGGAGATAAAGACGATAGATGCTTGATAGGAAAGAAGCAAACCACACCAGAGCACCCGCCAACCACCCAAAGCAGGCACTTAACAGGAGTAGCATTGAGACACTGATTTATAGCTCACAGTGGGTCTGTTCCATCAGTCATACTACCCTATAAGCTCATTAAGTTTATAGTAGACACAGAAAAGACACAGACGGAGGTAACCAGATCTGGGCATCCTGTAACTGTCCATGCCCTCTTTAAAAGAACGTGATTTGTCTGTGTACAAAGATGTGTCTGATAAACAAGGACATTCTATACAACAGCTAGCCTGTGAACAGAATGTAGAAGAGAGAAATATGGAAACATACCTGCCCTTTCTCTCACTCTGATCGTAATATTAGTTCTTGAGATGAAACAGAATTTACAAAGTACAGTCGAAATTGCTCAAGATGGCCACTCATTGTAGAGGGAAAAAAAGTGGCCATCTTAGACAGGTGGCTGTCTTACACAGTGTAATTATAGTGTAGAAAGAACAAAAAAGCAGGGAAATGCTAAGTGGCCGTTTATATCTTATACAGAGGGTCATTTGAGTGGGTATGACTGTATAGTCAAAAGGTACAAAATCTAGGTGAGATAATCCAAATTACAATTTAAAAGCAACAGCACAAATAAGAACACACTCTTCCACAGCTTCAAAAAAGGGTGTAAGATGACAAGCAGGAAATAAAATCATGAGGAATACTATCAAAAGTAACCAATTGCCATAAAGATATATAAATGAAACTTAGAACAAAGCAACTATTTCTGAGGTAAACAGAATTAATCATAATTCAAATCGTTTTTAAATGAAGGTATACTAATAAGAGATGCATAACTTGTTTAACATATTTTGACAGACCTTCTGTCCAGGTGTCTTGGTCAAAGGTCCCAAATCATCTCCTGGGCCACCACCTTTCTTCTTCTTTCCTTCGGCTTTTCCCTTTTTCTTATTACCTGTCAAGACAGAATTATGGACTACAGGAAACATTTAATGTTTCAAAGGCTGTTACTTTTTAGACTTGGAAATTAGCTCCTGACATTTTTTCAATACATTTTCAATCTTGAACTAGATCCCAGTTTTTCTTTTGAATAACATTTTCAGGAGGCTTAAATGATGCTTCTTAATTTCAGCCCTAAAAGACTGATCATATCTAGATCTCAGACTTTAAGAAAAGAACTTGAGGCTGGCTGAAAGGTATAACTCAAGGGTAGAACTTGTCTATTGTTCCTCTGTCATTTCTGTCTGTCTGCATTCTTTTTTCCAATCTTAAATGACTGTAATCATGTCATTTCATGTCTCTTGATCTCACATGAACACAGACATTATATATATATATATATATATATATATATAAGCTTGGGAAGAATAACACATATCAACTTTTAACAGCAATAACAATGCCAAAAGATAAAAGGTAAGCAGAAATAAGAACTTTTTAAATCACTATTTTGACACCACTATTACTTAGGAAAAGGGAAGGGTGGGGGGGGGGGGGGGGGGAGACATACAATAAAAGGCAAGGACACTTACTTGTGTTCCTATCCCCAGTCCCTTTTAGCCTCTCCTCAGATACCATATTCTTATAAAACTCATCACATGGATGGTCCCAGATGCTTTCTCCAGAGGCAAAATTAAAGTAGTAGACATCGCCAGTTGGAGTTTGACTGTGGAGAAACACATCAAATTTAAAAAAACAATAGCCCAAAAACAACTCACTCTGAAAAAGAAAGTTAATGTAATCAAGTTAATTATATTCTTAAAGAATATAAACCAGTCTGATCTTTAGTAGATTGGGTTTCAACTCCAGAGCTCAGATTTATTTTTCTTTGAGAAAAAAAAAATCACCTAAATTATTGTAATCGAATTTGGGGAGACATCTCAAAAGAAAAAATAATTTGTTTAACTTTTTAACCACATCAACAAACTTGAAACAGTTTACAAATTTGAAGAGCTTATTCTTGTATTGTTTATAAAATATGTTCATTTTACTAACCAAGGCCTCCAGTGTTCTGGCAAAGGTGCGTTGATGCCTTCTCTAGCAACCCATAGAAGGTGCTGCTCTTTGTTGACATCAATGCCAATGGAGGCTGCATATTCCATGATTTCTGTGTAACAGAAGAAATGGAAATAAGCAATTTATTTTCATTCACTAACTACAACAAGAAAAACGAATAAAGAATAGAGTCATGGTTCAGCTGCAGTACAAAGTGAGTAAAGACAACATGATAAGGTCAAAATTAAACTAAAACAGATTAAAAACAGAAATCCTGAGAAAATACAGCTGAAGCATACTAAACTACAATGCCCCCCCCCCCACCCCAACCCCCCAAGAAAAAAGAAGAGAGAAAAATATCTCAAATATGCTATCAGAGGTGACTGAGTTCACATGGCAGAATTAATTTATGAAAAGGGAGGTAAGGAGTGTAATGTTGTGGCAAAAACGAGAAAAATGCATATATATTTACTAGCTACAAAGATCAACCCAGCATTTTTTTAAAAAGAAGAACTCCAAGCTTTTTCAATAGAAATGCCAACTACTCCATGATAAAAAAATCTGAGTTTTCCTAAAAATCCTTCCAAATTTTCAGAGCATCTATAGGAAAAAAATTGGTGTTCCAGAATCACAGACTTGACGGATTGACTGTGGCAAAAACATGAAAATAAATATTAATCTAAATGAGTATTTTCACGTAATTTATGATATGTAGACATAAAATTTAATGACCTGACGGAAAAGGAATTCAAGAAAAAAATAGTATTATTATCTCATGCAAATTCGATTGGAGTTCTCAGACAGATAAAGAATCGAAGAGCTCTGATTCCATCTGGATACTTAGTAGGTCTGCTAACACCTCTTAGAGAAGTTCTCCTGGAAACACTATACATTATAACAAAGACTAAATCAAAATGAATATAAAAGTTTATTTAAAGACTCCTCGTTTCTCATCTTTGTTTGGGTATTGTTTGCGAGTGTCACATTCTTCCACAACATATAATACGAGCGCACACTCACACACTTTATACCCCTAAACCTACCTACCCTATCTAATTATATTTTTAACACACAAATTATTTTTATCATGCAGCATATTAGCAAAGGAAAAAAAAAGAACCATGAACACTATAATTAAAGTATTCCACTTACATGTTAGGTATATACAAAGAAAAAAATTACTCAATTCAGTATTTGACATTGATTGCACTCTTCAAAGCATGTAATAATAAAATAAACTGCTGTCACAAATGTTGCAAACATACCATTTTCTGTGGGTTCATAGTTTTCATCGTAATCCTCTTCGAGGATCATTTGTCCATTGACCATCATCTTGGCAGTCTTTTTGTTTTACTGCAAGTCCTACAGACAGGAAAATTTTAATCTCTGAAAGAAAAATTCAACAGTACTTTAATTTGATTGAATAACTGCACAAAAGAAGTAGAAGACCCCTTTTGGGTCAGACAGTGTTAGTGTATGACAGAATCTTCCACTAAAGATACACTCCATTCTCTTGCACGAAAGTTGGATGGCATCACTGGAAGGTCCTACTTATTTACTACCCATCCATCGTTTTCACCTGTTGATCTAAAGTTGAATTTTCCCCATCACTAAATAACCATACACCATTCTGTTGTCCATGTGCTTTCAAACTAAAAATCAGAAAAAAAAAATTTAAAAAAAATTACATCCTTTTTTCTTTTTAGTTGTGCCACAACCCCTCCCCCCAAATCCCAGCAAAATGCAGGAGTTCCTTGATTCTCCATGCCATAGTGGCGTGTCTTGAAAAATAAAACAACTATTGGGCAGGGAACTGCACCAATGCTTTTCCAAAAATGTACAATAAAACAATTCTGGTTTTTGGCCTGTTTGATATAAATCATGTCTTCTAAAAAAGGCTTTAATTAAAGTTTCAGGAACGATGGCAATTAGTTGCAAGTCCAGAGTGAGGAAAGCAGGCAGCAAAATTATAAACATCATAATCATATTTAATTGATTACGACATCCGGTAACTATTTTTTTTTGGGGGGGGCGGGGGGCGGGTAGGCCTGTGAAGTGAGTGAGTAGTTGGCTCAATCAGATCGATCCCTTATGACGATCGCTCTGCTCGATCCCTTTCTAGACGATTACTCCGATCCCGATCATGATCGCTCACTCAATAGCTCCCTGAATCGCTCACTCACTCAATCGCTCATTTGAATGTCCCTCTTGTAGAAAAAGAGACCTGCCGTCTCCGAACGTAGCGTGATAACGCGTCCACAATATTATTTAAGATGCATATCTCCGTAAAATAGAATATTATTTTCAGACGCAAGCGTGGAAAGTTCTAGCCCTTCGGTCTGTCGAAATGGCAAAGAATTGACAGGTTTTAATCAGCTGTGCTTTGTCGCTGTAAAAGAGTGTTTCCGCTGTCTGGGGACGCAGGTAGGTAGGTGCTACGCAGGTCACAAAGTGCTGGGCAGTTAAAGAGGTGGTGTGGTACTGTTTCATCCTGGCAGTCGCACAACGGGCAGTCGGGTGGGGTATCCTTGCGGATCCTATTGAGGTAGGAGTTTAGTGGTATGTGTTGTGTTCGCAGGCGAAATAGGAAAAACAAACAAAAACAAGAAAGACGAAGAGCTGGGAGGACCCACCGATCGTGATCGAGCTGAGCCGAGCCGGTGGTTTTGCCCCTTTATCCCATGAAAAAAATATGCATGAGCAGTGTAATATAACTCACTGTGCCATGCAATCTTCCGTGTTTGGTTCATGTCTTTAAGTGTCTAAACCTTTGTGAGTTGTTTAGGAATTATTTTGATTTACGAATATGAGCTTGGTGATGCCTGTTATAATCGAAAACATAGCGCTCACAAAAGCAGTTTATTCATGGGGGTTTTAAGAACCGTATTCATCGACACCGGAAGGGAGGACTGCAACAGCCCCACACCACCGCTCTGTCAATGCTGCCTCTCTCCGCCCGCACAATCACTAGGCTAGGGGTCTAAGGGTTGGGGACTTAGACCTTAGAAAAACAATGCACTTCTGCAAGTTTAAGTTATCTCCACTTGAGGAAGAGATCGGAGTAGTGAGCGATAAGAACTCGGTGAGTGACCAGAGATCGAGCTCGGCTCTATCCCGATCATGATCGGCGAGTGGATCGGGATTGCGCGCAACCCTGGGGGAGGGAGGGAAGGGGGGTAGTTGTCATTGAGACTGCATTGCTATCCCTTTCTTCCATGTCAGAGTCAGATCAATAATGTCATCTTTTGATATCATTGCAGACTCACAACACAAACTCTGAGCAGCCACTCAAATCAACAAACACTACCTGACTACACAAACATGATTTATTAGTTTTAGTTAAAGTTTTATGGCACTTGCAACACAATTTAAAGGTCATATAAGTGCCGAAGATAAGAGGTGTTACAAGAGATCTACTTAACAAACACAGTTTTAGTTTTAGTCAAGATTTTATATGGCGCTCGCAACTGTCATGTATGAGGTCATATATGATGGCCAAGGGGTGGATATCAACAGAGAAGTCCTTACAGGGAATCAGACTTACTCTGCTCACCTCTCTAGCTTCAACAGCACAAAGTCTGCTTCAATTATCAAGGCACCCCAGAAATAGTGAGTCACAAGAGGAGAGTGACAAACATAGAAGTAGAGGACAAAATGACAATAGTCTTGATTAGGAAAGAACAAGCAGAAGTTCCCTGTTGTAGATCAGGCACAGTTATGAGCGTGAGCGTGACATTGATGAAATAGCCCATTTATAATTCTTCTGTGCATGAACGAGAAATGTCCCCCCTTTGGGAATGGCCTAAAGACACTTAGTTTCAGTCAGTGGCACTGCCCCGAGGGATAACAAACACAAAAAAGACGGAGGGGAGATAAAGACGATAGATGTTTGATAGGAAAGAGAAAGTAAACCACACCAGAGCACCTGACAACCACCAACATGATTTATTAACACAGCAGCAAACAACACACTACACTTACTTTATTGTTAAAGAATAATTTCATTTCATCACATTTTTAAAGTGGGGTGGTTCTGACAACATTTAGTAGAGACTCTGACTATGTTGGGCGTGATCTGTCGATTTGCGCGATCCATCGATTGCGCAGCGCATTTGGTTGATTGAGGAAACGCGCGACAATCCATCGATTGTTGCGCATTCTGTTGATCAGCGGATCGCGCAGCGTTTTTGTTGACCCGTTTGGTTGCGCAATCTATCTAGCATCGGCGTTTGTAGCCATTTTTTTGTCCAAAAGTTGCCACAAAAAGTGGCAAAAGTTGCCATTAATTTTCAAACTTTCAACTCTCTATGACGACGTATATATATATAGCAATATAATGCTGATAGAGGTAACAATCTAAAGCACCAGAACTTATAAAGATTTCACAATAGAATGAAACCAAAATTAGAACAGCAAGATAAATAACCACAAAAATTAACAAATAAGTGTCCACCTATCCGAAGATAGGCTGTTTTAACCCTAAACGAGTGTAATTCAAGAAAAATAAGTAGGTCTACAGGATATTGCAAATTTATGGAATCACACACAATTGGGGCGTACCAGTGTCAGTATTCAGTTTTGGTGGAGACACGCTCTAACGTAACACAAATTTTTAAAAGGGTAGGAACAGCATTACAAATTAAATGACATTACGCTGTATAAACAAAAAAAGAAAATCAAATCATCAGAACAATTTTTAGAAAAATTAACACACCAACAAATTAAAACACAACAAACAGGGAAAAATGAAAGACAGACAGTAATAAATAGTATGTAATGTAGTGTACTTATATATATTCTCCGCGTGAAATTAGAGATACACAGGGACATCTTAAAACTAATCAAAATACATATGTCTAATAAGTTATGAAGTAGTTTTTTTTGTTGTTCTTTTTTTTTTAAATGCAAAAAATCGCGGCCGCGATTCGCTAACCAAAAAATGACAAAAATCGCGGCCGCAATTCGCAGGTCTCGGCTGCCACAAACGCAGATGCTCGTTCTATAGATCATACCCCTGAGTTTTGTTATGTTTTGTTGTCGTCCAGAGTGTAATTTAGTTTCACTCTCCAAAGTCAAACCAAAACTGAATGGAAGTAATTGGAAGTCAAGGTTACAATAAACTTACTACATCACAATAACGGAAGTAGAAAATCAGAGTTATAGGTCGTGAGTATCACTCCGAACACTTCTATTCAGTATGGAGCGATTCATGGCGATAATGGAGAAAGAGGCACAGTTATTGTCTAAAAATCCTGGGTCTGCATTACTGACAAAAGAGAGAAGTTTGACATGATTGTTAAACATTTGAAGTAGCCAGAAAAAAACGCTGAAATGAAGCCCTTTTTCGACATGGGGTAAAAAAAGCGATTTTCCTTGATGAACATGCCAGGCACGTTTCTTCTTCTCTACAGTAGGCTAGAAATTTACTGTGTTTTTCGTTGCCCAATGGGTGGAAACCTGATGTTTGAAAGCGAGGAATGCAATGATCTCTGGTTCCATGCCAAGTGCTTAGGACCAAAAACACAGCTACAACATTTATAAAGAAGCCGCCAACAGAACTGGTTGTGCTCGAGGTGCTCTTGTTCAAGGAAACAATAAGTATAAAGAAACAATAGTATAAATACATTTTTAATAAACATACTCACAACAATTTATCACAAGCCATTAAATCTTGACCGTATTTGGAATAAAACGTGAAGTACTCAGCCAATCAAATCCGTCCAATTACTGAGTTCAGGTGCTCGATTTAACGCCGTGTCAATTTATCTACCACACTCAACCGTCAACACTAAATTAAGTTCAAAACACAACTCTTCTGGGAAGCAAAACAACAGGACGCGTAAAGACTGCCAAGCTCAGTAAAACAATTTTCTTTTAAAAAAAAATTCATTTCATCATCATACTTTACCGACAGAAAGCGCAGTAAGTATATATTTCACGGATCGACAAAAAGCACTGCGCGATCCGCTGATCAACAGAATGCGCACCAATCAATGGATTGCCGCTCGTTTCCTTGAACAACCAAATGCACTGCGCGATCTATGGATCGCGCAAATCGACAGATCGCGACCAACAACTATACTATAGTGAATGTAATGATATAGATCTAGACCTACTGTAGATCTATAGATCCAGTGATTGCCATAAAAATTAAACTTAATTTAAATAAACTAGAATCTATAAACTCAAACCATTTTATCTCCCAATTTCGTATGGTCCCCAGTCCCAGACCATTCTCCAGGTGTAAGTGTAAGACTTAGTTGCACTTCATGATCAAACACATTTGAAATCATGCATAGCAGCTCTCAAAATTCAATTAGATCTAATTCTGAAAATTATCTGGCAGTCCTCTGAGACTTTGACTTGGCTTTAAGTTAGATCTAGATCTAGATCTCTAGGTCTAGGCTAGGTGTGCATTATTATTGAAAATGTTTTGCTAGTTCCGCCAACGCTGGCCAGTCTAAACATGTTCACGAACAGGAAGAACGACCCTTTAAACGTTCGTTTCGGGCATAAAGTAGTAATCTGTCAAGTAATAAGCATTGCAAATATTGAAACAAGCAAAAATACAGACAGGTACTATACCAGAAAGAGGAAATCTAAGGCAAAAATAACATCGTGCAAATAAAATGTGTTGTAAAATCCGAGTGAGTACGCTTGTCACCAAGCTCAACAAATTTCGTAGTAAATGTAAAACTAAGAGCGGAAGGTGGCCAAAAGTTAGAGCGACAAACTAGATAACTCATAGCTCCGAAACAATACACTGTTTACGAATAATGTTAGCCAATTCAACAAAATTAAATATTCGACAAAATTATTGAATACCAAAAAATACTGACAATCTCATTTCCGTTGACTTTTATTTAAGAAGAAAGCTAAAGATTACACATACTGTGCTCAAGCAAAGAAACAGGATGAAACATTAATGACGCGTTTTGAATTTGAAGTCAACCAATCTCTTTCTTTCCTTCATTCTTCCAAATTTCTATTGTGTTTTTTGTTCGTTTGTTTTTGACCCATCTATTTATATCAAATAAAAGCCTTTGTTTGTTAATTGTAGTTGTTGGGTTTGCTTTTTTTACAAACAGTTTGAAGGGAAAAGCGATTAGGCCTAGTCTTATTGGTGAGATCAGCTTTGGTGAGTAGGTTGGGTGACGGGCGGGGAGAGCAGAGCGCTGAGCCTCTCAGCTGACGACGTCCTGGCAAGCCACTTGGTCTTCTTATCACGTGACATTACACTTCAGTGCAAGGAGATTAAAAAACTCCTTGCTTCAGTGTTGTTGACAAACATGGCGGTAATAGTTCGGCAAACTTTTTCGGAGTTATGCATTTCTAAGTGTTGTATGCTAACAAGTCGGATGATTACTTAAAAGTCGGAGTGTGTGTTACTGGATTATAATTCTTATTCTGAGTGATTCTGTACCGCAAGTTTATAGTATGGCGAGCGGTGATTCTTCAGCAACTATCGATACGACGGGTGAATTTCTTCGGTCGTTTTCTGTTGTGAGAGCCGGAGAATCTGATTCTGACTCGGACTTCGACGAACTTTCCCCGATTCCTGAAACCCCCGGAGAAGGGTTGGATTTTACAAATGCGGACAGCATTGATGAAGGTAGATCTTATTTTTATTTTCCTTTATGAACATATATCTAGATCTAGATTACATTTTCTTTTTATTGTTTGCTTTCATTCTACAGATTATTTTTTTTTTGGTTGAAGTTGGGCTAAGTTTATGAAGGCTGCTAGATCTAGAATCTAGAAGTTCAAAATCATTTTATGTTCAGAAAATTTAGTCAATTATTAGGGCTATTCAGATCGAATTTAATAGTTGGGAAGATTGAAGAATACCGGACCACTCGTACATTATTGCGCGAGAAAGTGGGGCGGGTGGTTGGGGTGGAGTGGGGAGGGGGGTTCAGGGGCAGGGGGGTCTCCCCCCTGACAAAAGTTTAATGAATAGATCTACCGGTCCGAGATTCTCCATTGAGAGATATTAAAAACGGGGAAATTATGAATTCCTAAGGTTGAGACGGCAAAGTCAGTCCGCTGGTCCGGTATTCTTCAATCTTACCTAATAGTTTAATAGTAAATCATTCCTTTAAAAATATAGAACAGTTTAGGCCTAGATCTATGTGTTTGACTGGGTATAGATCTGTCTCATTTCCCTTTATAGATTTAGGCCTTGCCTTAGATCTAGATCTAGATCTAGATATAGATCTAGATCAAGATTAGTTTATTATTTAAAAGTTTAGTAGACCTCCCAACTGAGTACCCCAGTACTCTACTTAGAAGTTTGTACTAGAATCTAGATCTAGCCGCTTGCGCAGCTCTGTTAAGTTTGTACTAGAATCTAGATCTAGATCTACACGCTTTTTTTTTTTAATTTGAAGCAAAAGACTGGTAAAATTCTCATTTAATATATTTAAAAGCATAGATCTAGATCTAGATTCTAGATCTAGATTTGCATTCACTTTTTATGGAAATGGCCACTTTTGAAGATGAAACATAAAATCCAATGGAATGAGTATGAGGAGCCGGAATTAAATCAGAAAAATAGTTGAAGTTGTAATTTGGCACAATATTATAGATCTTGAGCTGTTACTGAAACAGTTTTTTTTCGTTTGTGTTTTGTGTAGAATTATTTCCATATTTACCTTTATAAAAAGCCTTGCTTTTTGTACGATTTATAAATAATATGACTATTCGTAGTATAATTATATAATATGTTTTGTATTTTAACGTTATTTCTTTTGTACTGGTGTAAATTTTAACTTGAAAACTGGAGGGGGTGGGGGGTTGGGGGGAGAGGTTGTCTAGTTGTGCAAGTTAAACATGACTATTCCCCTGATGGCGTCCTAAGACGTAAGATGTTTTAGTGTGTTTAAAAAGTTTTCTATTATTTATTGACTTGTAACATCTTAACTATGGGATGGGTGGTCAAGATTTATTCTCAGGTGCATGAATTGAAAGTACAAAAAAAGTGGCTGAAGATGTCTAGATCTGATCTAGATCTAGATGAAAATTTAAATAGTCTGTTTTGATGAAAATTCACATTATTAATATATAATTCTGTGCTGAAAATACTCAGGATACCTCACCTAGACTCACTTTTGCTTCTAAACAATGTGAATCCTTAAAAGTCATAAAGGAAAAATCAAGGCCCTCTGCATTTTTTCTTCTAGTCTGAGATGAGCAAGGCCAGAACCTAGAATCAGACTTTCAGTACTTTTAGAGCTCCTGTGTTGGAAACTAAAGGGGTTTTAAAATTGTATAAAGTAGCAATAATATTTGGGTCATGACGTTGATCATTAGCAGACTGAAGTTGATGGTGATGTTTGTGTAACATTCTCAAAGCAGATTTGATGCTTACTCTTCTCCCTATAAATTATATGATCAAAACATCCATTTTTGCTTCTACCTCTGTTGAAGTTGAATACCAAAATGTGCTGATGAGTAGCCTATAGACTATTATTTGTCTTGGATTAGGGGGGGGGGGGGGGGTCATGGCAAAACTAAAACTGTACTTTATTGTAGCTGGCATCCTTCATGTCTTTCTACTTTCTGGGACTGACTTCAGAACTCTTCTTTCTTCTTTTTTTTGGCCTCCTCCTCCTCCTCCTGCTGCTTCTTGTCTGGCAAGATCTCAAACGCTGAATGTGCTGCAAGGACAACCAGAACGGCAATAGTTGCGTCCTCCTCTGTTACGTAAACGTGTCCACCTCTTGACCTTTCCTGGCTTGTCTTGCACTCTCGTCTGATAGGGAAGATGTGAAGTAACACCCGCTCGACTCAGGAATACCGGATAATACCCAGGTAGAGAGGGCAGGGTCTTCAGTTTTGTTATACACCACTGCGTGACTGCTGTTGGGTAGTCAGTGAAGTGTGTAGTGTATGTGACCCAGTTTGCTCAAGAACTTACTTTAGTGTTGACTCGGTCGGGCACCCGGGTACCAAGCGCTTGACTACTCTTAGGCCTTATCGTCTGTTATGCACTTGGTCTTGGTCGTCTGTGGTCTCTGTCGTTTCTGGTGGTTGTGCGTCCGTGAGTGTGTATTGTGTGTATGCCACAGTGTGTGTGTGTGTGTGTGTGTGCGCGTGCGTGCGTGTGTGTGTCTGTGTGTATGTGTGTGTGTGTGCGTGCTTGTGTGTGTGTGTGTGTGTGTATGTGTGTGTGTGTGCGTGCGTGCTTGTGCGTGTACGTGTGTGTGTGTTTAAGTGCTGCTGCAGCTAGAGATCTTGTTCGTAAAAGGTTTGGGGGAGAGGGCGAGGACAGTGTTTATGTGTGTAGAAGTGTGTGTTTTTACATGATGATGCTTTAAAAGCGTGCATGTCAGGATATTTTATATACCGGGTCCTTGTTTGAGTGTCGGTTCAATGTGAAAACGCTT